CCCCTGCTGCTGGGGGCCGGCAGCGGCAGCAGCCTGGAGGGGAGCGCCCTGGCCGGGACGTCGGAGGAGGGGGAGCAGGCGGGGACCACCGCGGCGGAGACGCCCGCCGACCCCGGCCGCGCCAGCAAGGCCAGCAGCGGTCGCGCCAGGCCGGGCGACCTGGCCATCTAGGGTGGTCGCGCCAGACAGCTCTATAATCTCTTTTCTAGAAACCCAAACCAAAGAGCAGTTAAAATCAGGTAGAGAGGGCCTGCAGCGGGATGCACGGCAGGGCTGGGAGGGGAGGTGCGCAGAAGAGATCAGGTTTCCGTGTTCAATGCTTGCTGTTCTTAGCTCTGTGACTAGTAGTGGGGATGACACCAACGTTTCTGAGATGGGGGGGATGGGTGACAGGGGTTGTTGGCCTTTAAAGACATTCACAGCAGCCCAGCGACCTGATTGCTGTTGTGCCTCAGCTCTGTGTCTCTGTGGGTAACTGTGCTGTTGAGGTAAAGCAACAGGTGTCTGCAGCCCTTCAGCCCCGGGGCCATTCGGTTTTCTATTTCCTAAACTCTTCAGCGCCTCTGGGCAGCTCAGAGTCATAGAGGCACTTAACTCTATCTCTGTTTGGTACTTTTAACCTAGAGTTGAATTTCATTGGGATACTTGCCAAACTGCACTAAAAAAAAGATTTAAAACAAGGCCATACAGTGTCATTTGAGTTTCTGAAATTGCATGTGAAGGCCAGGATATCAAACTGCAGGCTTCATGACAAGTGACAAAGAGCAGTTACCCTCCAGAGGCAGTCAGTGGGCACCGGCTGCAGAGCCTGCTGGTGGAGGGCAGGTGGACATGCAGGGACACTTGAGATCGTTTTTTAAAGCTGAGGCAATTGGCAGAAAAGTGTGGCAGGTATGTCTTAGGTATTCATTTTTTTAAATGATATTTTGTGCTTTGATCTGAATGGTACAGGTTTGCCTATTTCCTCCACTTTGTATCTTTCAGGAAAAATGAAAGAAAAATAGTACTGTTAAAATGGATACTGACCAAGAGAATGCAAATTTGTCCTAAAACATACTACTGAAGATTTTGGACTTTCTTTTAAAAGAAATTCTCCCACTTCATGAGTCAGCTAATTACTATGACAATGTGCTATAGAAAAGAAAGGGGGGGCGGGGAATTCAGGTGCATTTCAAAGACTTGAAGTTGTGAAGTTTTTGAATGGGAAGTTAAAAACTTCGCTACCCTTGCCAGGAAGTCTGTTTATACAGATGAATCAATGATGATCCATGCTTTTTTTTTTTTTAAACAGTACAAAATAAACCACTTCAAGTTTCCCAACCATTCTTTGTGGGCAGCCTGTTTGCTTTCCAAACTGTAAATAAAAGTGGGTTTTACTGCCTGTGTAAGAGCGTGTGCTGATGTAGGGTGTACGCCCCCTTTTCCCTCCACACAGAGTTGTCCTGGCAGGGAAGGCTATTTAGGTGTGTGGGCAGGGCTGGAAGATGGCAGAATTTTCTGTCTGGCACACACCTCCGAAGTGTTTTGTCTTGGTCACTGTAAACTGATGAACAGTGGTCACATTAAGCCTGTTTCTATTCATGTTTCACCTCCAACTGAGGATCGTTAGCCCTTATTCAGTGAAAGACCACACACTTTCCAACTTAATTCATTTCTTTTCATAAATGACTTTGATTTCCTGATGACTCATCTGGGGCCCCACTCCACAACACACTTTCTGTTTCATAATTTACAGTGTGATCCACTAACAATCAGATGAGAAGAATGTGGTTTTCAACTCAGATTCATGTACGCAACTAGTTTTTCGTGTCAGTCAATCATAAATAGCTTATTAGTGCCTTCTGCTTGCTATGGGATGCACTGGACAACCTCCTGGGCTTGAAAAAATGCTAACTTTCCATACATATCCTCAAAGTCTTTCTCAACCAGGTTAGGAAAGAGGGAGAGGATTGAGCCCTTTGGAAAATTATTGGAGTGACTTTTCCGCAGTTCTCCCCAGGCTGTGGTGCATAAGCAGGGTCATTCCTATCTGTTCATGAGATGCACAGCTCCTCTCCAGTGTTAACTCACTAGCAGTGGCACCTGGGACTTAGCACGGTGGGACCCGTTCTCCTGAGGAAGGAGGCCACTAGCAAATCCTACTGTGACAAACGTTCTGATAAAGAGCTTTGGCCATCTTAGAAAATGCAATATAGCAGCCATTGGGGACCTCAAGTACAACTCACAGAGTGGATGTGAGTATTTAGTTCTTTAAGTTCTACCATAATAAATGTTAATAATAATAATAAGCTTCTTGCTTCCCCACACTGGACTCTGAGTGGGGTTGGTGGAGAGTGAGAACTGTAACTGTACTTAGTGTTTACATTTTAAAATTGAATTTTATTCACGACATGTTCATGAAAATGCCAGTGCTGGGCAATTGACCATGGTCTAGTTGGCTCAGTTAGTGTGTGGACAGGAGTGTAAAATTAGGTTCACCTGCCTGAAAACCCCTAATTTATAAAGATGTGATTCTGCATTAGAACAGTGCCCATGGTGGTTTTCGGGTTAGTGTACTGATTTTAATTTATGTAGAAAATGAAAGCATGGCTTGAGATATCCATGATCCTGAAGGCTTCTTCCACCTCACAGGCAGGTTCTCTTGACTTAGCCAACGTTTTAAACATTGAAATGTTCAATAAAAATAGAAATTGCCGCTCCCTATGAGCAAGATTCCAGACATATTTTTTTCTAGCCTGTTAATTATCTGGAAATTTCACTGAACTATTTTTCTCTTGATTTGATAGAAAAAAGTTTTAAATCCCTAAACCTATTTTAAAACTCAAACACTATACCTATTCTATTTACACACGTGACTTTTAATCTGCGGTATACAATGCAATTCCTTCTAACATCCCTGTTTTCAGAAGTTCAGTCATCCAGTTGACACTGAACCCAGTCTCTGTGATTATAAAATGTTAAGCATTTCTATAGTCACGCTACCAAAACCCATTTTTTAAAATTCTAAAACATTTCTTATATTATCATTCACTTTCTCCTTTTTAAACTTTATTTTACTGAGTTATTCTTTTTTTTTTTTTTTTCATTAAATTGACCAAAAAAGATACCTGAAGTTTAAAAAGAAAAGAAAAAGAGAAAGAAAGGAAAA